TTTAATAAGGTTAGTGAACAATGACAATTTAAGAAATAGTGGGAAATGACATCTGTTTTGTTAAATAGTACAGCAACCTTTTTTCAGTTAATTGTTATTTCTACCTTTTTTCTAGTCACAGAGCACTTTAATTTGAGAGTTGTTTAAGTGAAAGAACAACTGTAACCTAGTCCAGAATGGGGGAATTGTAATGTTTTATATTTTGTTATTATATAAATAATTTTTTGCATTAAAAAGTATAGACTTTTGTTTGTATATACTGTCAATTATAGTTTTTAGAAAGAAAATCGGAATCGGCAGATCACACTTACAAAAAATTGGAAATCGGAATCGGCCAAGAAAATTGCAATCGGTGCATCTCTATTATAATTTTTATTCAGCAAGCATGGATTAAATTGATCAAAAGTGACAGTAAAGTCTTAAAAATTATTTTGGACTTTTTGTTAATCAAAGAATCCAAAGACAAAAATATTAGAAATATTAAGCAGCACAACTGTTTTAAATTGGTAATAATAAGAAATATTTCTTGAGCAGGAAATCAAAATATTATTTCTGAAGAATCACGTAACACTAATGACTGATTCTAATTGCTGCTAAAAATTCAACTTGCCATACAGGAATACATTACATTTTAAAATACATTAAAATACAAAACAGTTGATTTAAATCGTCAAAATATTTCATTGTTTTTTTTACTGATTTCTGATCAAATAAATGCAGCCTTGGTGAGTATAAGATACTTATTTTAAAAAGCATTTTAAAAATCTCACTGACCAAACTTTTAACGGAATAGTATATATATTTATTTGATCTCAAACCAAATGTCCTTTAACACACATTTCTCTGTTCTCTGTTTAGTAATGACAAGCGGTTCTTCTTAAAGACACAGAGTAAAAGAGAAGTGCGATTTCTCTTGTCTAACCTGAGAATCTACATGGAACATCTGGAGAAGTACCCACACTCTCTGCTTGTCAAATTTTTAGGTGAGAATAAAGGAAGCTATTAAATTAACATTACTTTTTCAACAAATGTTACTGGACAAACATTTTCTTATCCACCAAGTTTAATGCATTATGAATTTGAAGGTGTAATTCATGATGATTTACACTAGAAACCTTAAAACCCTGAATGCTTATCTTTATTGCATCTATTTAAGCAATTGTCATGCTTGATTCATGGACAGGTGTTCACAGGATCAAAATAGCACATCAGAGGATGGTAATTATTTCACTTTACATCTTCAATTTCCTGTAAAAATGATTATTTTATGAACCCTGAGGGTGCATGTTGTTTTCTGTGTGCAGAAGTACTTTATTGTGATGCAAAGTGTCTTTTACCCTGATGACAGAATCACAGCGAGGTAAGACTTATTGCATGTTATAAATGGAAATGGTGAAGTGTTAACGATTCGTCCATTATCAATCATATAAATATTTAATGTTGCTAATCTCTCCATCACTTCTGTGAATGTACACCACAGAAGATGTCATCTTGGCTTACTAAAATCCACAGCCTTGCAATTATTGGTCATTAAATTGCTTTGCCTTTTAGCTGTTACTTTTGGCTTGCACTAATGGTAAGAAGAATGATCCAATCCATCACTACCACCTCCTTCTCCATTACACTTCCTTCCTAGTTTTACATTCACCCTTTTCTCTCAATGTGTAAGGTATGATATAAAGGGCTGTGAGGTGAGCCGGTGGACAGACCCAGCCCCTGAAGGCAGCCAGATCATTGTTGTTTTGAAGGATCTTAATTTTGAAGGACAGTTCATTCAGTTAGGTAAGCTCAGTTCCTTTTATGATATTTAGACTTCATCTGCATCACTACGTTCAATCCTTTGGTTCCTTGTTTATATGACAGATCAGCAACGCCCTTGGCTCCTGCGTCAGGTGGAGATTGATACTGCCTTTCTTCAGACGCTCAATGTGTTGGACTATAGCTTCCTGCTTGCCCATCAGCCCCTGCACCAGGATGAACTCAGCCAGAGTCTCTCTTTCACAACACTCATCATGCGTGCCAAAAAGTGAGCATTATTTTAGTCTATCATGCATATAGTCATCTACAAACAACCATAGACATTTACAAAGATGTTTTAATGAAGCTCTGCTTGTGTACATTTTTAAAGATGTCTGGCATTCATAATTGTATAAAAACTCTATTCTTGACACAGTCAGACGGCACACAGATACTTTTGGCTGGTCATCGCTATCTCACACAGTCATTTGAATGAACTGCTCATGCTTAACTGCTGAGGTGCATGCAGAATATAGTTATTAACTTTATATGATTACGTGCAGAATACTGATGTTTGCTCTTGTTTTAATTGTTCTCATAGTTCAGAGACAATATTTTCTTTAAAACATTTCGGTTACACTTTATATCAATTATCGCTATTAACAAACCATTAACTACAACTTTCCCCTCAATAAACTCCTAATCTGCTGCTTATTAATAGTTAGTAAGGTAGTTGTTAGGTTTAAGTATTGGGTAGGATTAGGAATGTAGAATATGGTCATGCAGAATATGTGCTTTATAAGTAGCCTACTAAGAAACAGCCAATGCTTAATAAGCAACTAGGTAATAGTGAGAATTGGTCTCTATACTAAAGTGTTATGGATGTTTCTTTCTGCTGCCTCCTCTCTCTAGTTTAGTTCTGTATTTAAGGATAACAGGCTTTGCCCTGACTGTGAATGCTCATGTTCACCTCTGTTTCCAGATCCTTCTCTTTCTTCTCCAAACGGCCATTGGCAGGCAGGCATGTAGCTATCATATCTAGCTTCAATGTCATTTTCAAAGTAATGTCTCAAAGAAATAACAAAAAACGAAATCACTAAACTATAATAATAACCATACGTGTACTTGCTACTACCATTCCATTAGCCACTGAACATCATCTCATATACTGCATTTATCCATCATTTAAACTAAAGGTTTACCCAAAAAATTGATGGAAGTCTTTTTTTAATTTACTTATTCTCATGTCTTTTGAAACCCATATGACTTTGTCTTTTCCATAGAACACATTAGGACATTTAGCAGAATGTCCAAGCTGCTCTTTTCCATACAATGAAAGTGAATAGTGTTCTGTTCCTCACACCAAGTGAACATATGACTTAAGTATGAGTTACTTTTAAGGTGCTTTTTTGTTTAGAGACTGACCGTCTTTGGTCCCCATTCATTTTCATTGTGTGGAGAAGAGCAGCATGAACATTTTGCAAAACATCTCTTTTTGTGTTCCACACAAAAAATAATGACATATGGGTTTGGAAGGACATGAGGGTGAGTAAATGATGTAAGGTTTTACATTTTTGGGTGAACTATACCTTTAACAGCATGGAATGTTCAGGTGTAATAATCTTCTGCAGAAAAACAGAGCTTCAACCCAGAAACAAGCAACAGCCATACACTTTCATTTTACGGCAATCATTCAGTAGGTTAATGTTCTTTGCTCTGTTCTGTGTTCTTCTCTGACTGGCTGTTAGGTCAGTAAATGCAACATCCAGTCCTACACCAACTGTTCCCGGGATGGTGGCAGAGGAAGACTCCACACTCCTCTCCTCAGAATTAAATACAACACAATGTCACGTAACAGAAATACACAGTGGCAATGGTACAACCGACATCGCAAGTCCTGAGGAAGACAAAATTGAGCAACAAAGTAGGGTGGGAACGGAGTCAGCCGATCTACAAACCTTCCAGTCCCAGAACCGGAGATTGCTTCCTAACTTCAAAAACCCGCTTCATGTCATTGATGGACCAGAGCAGCGTTACTTCATTGGGATAATTGACATCTTCACTGTTTATGGTTTCAAAAAGAGGCTTGAGCATCTGTGGAAAAGCCTGAGACACCCACGACAAACATTCTCCACAGTCAGTCCTCCAGCTTACTGTCACAGGCTGTGCCAGTGGGTTCAGGACCATACCAAATAAAATTAGAGGTCTCTTGGATGACAGATGGACCCACTGTTCGCACACCTGACTCATACATACCTCATTATGTAAACACAGTGGAATGGATCTGAATGTACATTTGAGGGTGAACGTTTTTATAGCTTTTTGTTTAAAGGGGTCATAGAATGCTACATGCAATTAACCAAACTATGTTACAGACTTTTCATTAAGACCCTAAAGAATCATATCAACTTGTGGAAAATGGGCATCCTTTTCCTATGACCCCTTTAAATAAAGACGATGCTAATGCAAGTACTTGTTAAAACACTGTAGTTCATGAAAAATGCAAAAGTTAAAAGTTTTATTCATTTAAAATTGTTATGTAAGTAACAGTGCAATGACGGTGCATAGGGATGAAACCTATTATGAAAACATGAATAAGAGCAATGTAAAGTGTAACTTTTGGTTTAAGCATGTTTTCATAATTGAATTATGTAATACGGGTTACGTATATCCCATTTATTGAAAAGTACATTGTTACCATTTGATTGCAAGCTGTCCAGACAGAAAGGCTTTTGAGACTTACAACTTATCAACAAAAGCAGGGTCACTTCCTTCCTGCTGTCTGTCACGTTCAGAAACTGTTATGTGGAACTACACAAGTGGGCATTCAAATGCTTTCAGAAATATTTATGCAGTATAATAAAAAACGAATGTTTGATATTTGCATCTGTTCTTCTTTAATGATTTAGATAAATAATGTTCAGGCCTCAAGATGCTTTTGTATTGTGCTATTTGTAATTTACCAGTTTAAATCTATCTATCTATCTATCTATCTATCTATCTATCTATCTATCTATCTATCTATCTATCTATCTATCTATCTATCTATCTGTCTATCTATCTGTCTGTCTGTCTGTCTGTCTATAATTAATTGAATATTAATGGAATGATACAGTTTACTTGTACAGACCACAGAGGATACTTTAAAAAAATAATTTTCATTAGAAGTATTGTATTTAAAAAAAAAAGAAAATGGTTAGGATACCCAAAACAATACGTTCCAGTAGGGGGGTTAAAATCATGAGCATCCAGCTAGGCTGAGTAGAGGATGGCCGATGTAACTGATGGTAACTCCAGGTTGCGCTGTCGATTCCGCCTCGTCCTGCACAATCGATCCCGTTGCAGGGACAACCAACAAGCTGATGTTGCCGAAACGCACACAGTGAAAACGCTGACACGATGGATTTCAATGTCAAGAAACTAGCGTCGGATGCAGGTGTCTTCTTCACTCGTGCTGTTCAGGTATGAAATGACCCAGTGCTTTCTGCTTATTTCACGGTAGTTGCGTTGAGCCGTAAGTGCCGTGCGTGAACTGAGGGGGATGGACGTGCGCAGCAGCATCAGCAGCGGGCTCTAGTCAATTGAATGAACTGCTTCGCTCTGTTGGCCTTACAGAGCCTCACGCGAACACTCAGAAACCTCGCTTTCTGTAAAACTTAATACATCTGCCATTGTTCAAGCGAGCAATCTTTGTTTGTCATGTTGCGATGATCTGTATTTTCCTCGCCATTGTAAGCCGATAGACGCAAGCCAAGCCCGTATCCATTATTAATGGCTGTTCATGTGACAGCACTCTCCAACAGAACAGACGAAGCCCTGTTTACTATTACGGTTTACTTATTTTTTAAATGCTTGTTTAGGGATGCTCATGTTACTGTATGTCAAAAAAATGTCAGTCTATCGAAATGTAACCGAGTGTAAAAATATACTCAGTTATAACAAAGACTTAAGACAGTAAACAGGTTGATAGGGACAGATCACCTCAACATGAAAATACTCTCGTCGTATTCACCCTCATGGTATTTTGAACCTGTATGATTTTGTATTTTCGGTGGAACACAAAAGATGCTCTGTTACTGTTTTTCCCCCCACAGAATGAAAGTGAATGGTAATTGTTCAATTAGACAGTTCAAAAATATGTATAATTTGAATAATGACTTAAATGTTAGTCTGTACATCACACAAAGCTGTTTTATTGTTATTTTTGGTGCTTGGCAGGTCTTGGTCTCCATTCCCTTACATTTTATGGAAGAAAAAGCAGCACAACATCACTGTGAAGAAAATAATGTCTGTTTTGGAACAGCATGAGAGGGAGCGTTTTCATTTTAATAGACCTCCTTGTATGCAGAACACTGAAAGATGTCTGGCCAGCTGGTGTGTATGTGTGATGGTGAATGTCCATCTGTTTCCACGTGGGTGGTTTTTCATTTAAGCAGGAAAAGTTTCTTTTTTATTAATTACAATATTTGTCGTTTTATTATCTAAGATTATCCTTGAAACTTTAAGTTGTGACAGATGACATTTTCTATAAAATGTAAAAAAAGGAAGATTATTTCTTAAGGACAAACATTTTCTATTATTAAATTTTTTTTTTTTAAATGCAACAATTGAATTCCGTTGATAATTAATTGTTAACAAAAACCATGTGATGATCCAAAGACACTGCATGTAGTTAGAAGTAATACAACTGCTAAACTAATCAAACTTAGGGGTGACAATCTAATGTGAAAATCCTTGTAAAGTAAAACATAAGATTTGACATTTAAAAATTCTAAAATAACATTTGTTCAGAATAAATAAGTGGCACTGAAATACTGATTTTTGTGTAGTTATTTTTTTCTTCTTCAATGCATTCTATATAATCAGTATGTACTGTATGCTACATTATTTACACAGTGTGACATTTATTATATTGTCAAAGCATTATGTGTCTTATTCATAGACGTGCCACATCCCCGGATATCACAAGATAGTGTGCAAAAACCTCTGTCATACCCATATTCTCGGCTCATGGATGACAGACATTCAAAACTGCTGATGTAGAGGGAATCCTTCATGCTGAATGTGATTTATGTTTTTTTCCCCCCCCTCTTTCACCTCAGGCCTGAATTTTATGCGCTGTCAGCAGGGGTCTTCCCTGTGTGTGAGTGAAATATTAAACACCAGCCCTATATTTTTTCACCTTGTCAGAGGAAATCTTTGCTGCAGGTCCACCGGCCTGCCAGAAGCCTCCTGTTTATCAATGAGAGTCACAGGGCATTTGTTCAGCTGTTAGCTACTGACCTTTAGCAATGGCTGACATTTTAGCCTGCATATTTGGATATCAAGTGAATTTGAACTGCAAAGGCACAAACAGGCCGGTGCCATTCACCTGTCTGATCCATGAACTGAGTTTCTTGAACTAATCTTGTTTATTGTTATGTCTCCCCTGAGAAGATTGAAGAACAAGATTGTTTGCCTTCTGTAGTCTGATTAACCAGGGAGCATATGAAGGGGGTGTCCCCTATCAGCCAATCACCTTTGCTGACACAGATAAGCGTCCCCGCTCAGCTAATCACTACTACTGTACCTGTCAGGGATTTCGTTGGGAGCAGATCATTATCACTCAAAGCCACAGTTCTGTCATGGAGTTACTGCAGTCAGAGGCAGTGCACATGAGCTGTTTTTTAGGATTCTTTAATGAATAGAAAGTACAGAAGAATTTGTTATAACACCTTTACAGTCACATTTGATCCATTTAATGAAGAATAAATATCCATGCTGAATAAAAGTATGATTTCCTCCTGAAAAAGTTCTTACTTTGAACAGTAGTGTCTAATTATTATTATTATTTTTAAAGCACCATATTTAACAGTGGTGCAACAAATTGATTTGTATTTTATTATATTGCCTTTTATTACATTATCATATTTTACATAGGTTTTATAATTAATAATGTTCTGAATTGTTTAACAAACAATGGTTTAAAATTAAATATAAACATCTAGCTTATAATGTAATGGTTTTAGGTTAAACATAGCATGTCTCACTGCAGGGCACATGTCAGATATAACTATATGCATGCTTTTCATTGTCCATGTCCTTTCATTGTCTTTTGTCAGAAAATGACTTGATGTTTTTGTTGCTCTCAAACTTAATGTGTCTGATTTATAGCATTATATGCTGCTTGATGTGAACTGTGAAACATTGTCTAAACATAAATATAGGGGAATGGCATAATGCCAGCAAATCATGTGAATAGCTTTAAGAGTATGTCTCCTTGTCTTGCTGAGAATTGTTTAGCATTCTGAGACAATACGTTATGGGAAATTATTAGGGCTGGGTAAAAAATATCGATATCTCGATATTAATCGATTCTCATTTTTACGGAACGATATCGATTCTTAAATCCCAAGAATCGATGATTCTAACCTGTTTTCAGTTAATGGACGGAACGTTGAAGGGCACTTCCCATCCAATAAATCACAATAAGCATTGTGCTTTGGTACTTTTAATATGAAACAAAGTCTCAGATTTCAAATTCTGTCCATTGTATTGCAATATTCAAACAATAAATGCCGTTTTGTCGCTGTTTAATGTGGAGTGACAGATCGCCAGTGTTGCCAGACGTACGATAATTATCGTATTTGTACGGTAATTTAGACCTCTGTACGATGTACGATCAATAATGAAAAAAATCCCATAATGTACGATAATTTCAGAATTTTGTGAAACTTCAAATGATGGTCGTTGTAATCATAGGGCTTCTTCTATACTAATTCATGTAGCTGTGGATCCTACGTCTACCATGCCATTTTAAACGAGCACTTTGTTGCGGTGACGCGGTCCAGGAGTAGAAATATTATTATGGAATTGTAACTTTATTCTTTTAAAAACTTCATTAAGTGTAATTTTAACAAATCAGTCAATTTTAACCTTCAATATTATAGTAATGTAGTACTACCAACTAACTCTCATGTATATTTTACAGCATTGGTTGAGAGATTTTTTTTCCAAAATTTGGCATGTACCTGATATATATCCAAAATAATCGAAATCGAATCGAATTTGTAATCAAATCGAATCGCAAGCTTGTGAATGAGAATCGAATCAAAGCGTGAAATTTGTGTCAAAACTTAACCCTAGAAATGATGCATGCATATTCTTGTTCCTCAGAAAGAACAGCTAATATTGCCTACGTTGTTGTACATCTGGTTTGGAGTGCTGCTCTTACAGACAGACTGAATTGTTTTGTATGTTCTCCAGTACACAGAGGAGAAGCTTGGCCAGGCAGAAAAGACTGAACTTGATGCCCATCTGGAGAACCTGATTGCTCGAGCGGACTGCACCAAAAACTGGACCGAAAAGATCTTCAGACAGACCGAGGTGCTGCTTCAACCCAACCCAAGTAAGAATCTACATGAGCGTTATACGTTTAAAATCTTCCTACGTTTTGCATCTACCTAAGCCTCTGAATTACATTTTCTTTAGGAAAATATTCCGTTATTAGATATTGTTTGAAATATGTGGTCTTGTCTCTCAAATGTTGAAAAATGTCTCATGTTGTTGACAACAGGAACATCTCTTTGTTGATATCAGTCTGCTTTCATTTTTTTTAAATCGTCATGATATTTTACAATATCACAGATTTATTGTATATTAATCAAGTAAACACAGCCTTTGTGAGCATTAGAGACTTCTTTCAAAACATAAAAAAATCTGGCAGACTCCAAATGTTTGAATGGTAGTGTATATCGCATTTCGTAAAATTTGCATTTTATGTTGGCAGTTCACAAATGAATAAACAACATGAAACATTTTATATTAATACTCGTTCGGTTATAATTTCTGAATCATTGATGAGGCCACAGGTTTCAGATGTTTTAAAGTGCCCCTATTATGGGTTATGAAAAGTTCATATTTTGGTTTTAGGGGGTCCCCAACAACAGGGTGACATGCATGCAGGTAAAAAAACACTTTCATTGTCTTATAATATGCATTTATTTTTTACCTTATTTGCTCAATGTCTCCCAAACGATACATTTAACGATTCATTTTTCCAAACCCCTCAGTTGCGTGATGCTAATCTGCGGTGATTGGTCCAATTTGTCTCATTTTCATTTCATCATGTCTGTAATGCCTGTTAAAGCAGCGTTTGTGAGCGCAGTGCTGCTTTGTGTACAGCGTTACCGGGGAAACAGCTATTTTTACTGCTCCAAAAGCGGCACCTAGTGGCAAAGAATGAATTTCTATTTTCATTCAGACCAACTCGAAAAGACCAACAACTGGGCAGGCAATATGCTAATGTTTCATGTTGACGTCAACATGAAACGGCTTGGGATTCGCTTTAAAAACGACTCGTTTCAATTATTCAGAGTCGACTCTTTCTTTTGAGAGACAATACTTTATACACGGTGCACTTTCAGATTTAAAACTTGGCAGGATGTTTTCATTCACTTAGAGCTGTGTTACACACTGCATGAAAGGTAATTTTCAAAAATCCATAATAGGGGCACTTTAAAGCTCATCTTTGATGACAATAACTTTCATGTACATATTTAAGCATTTAATACTAATAAGAACACTAACCTGTTCTTTCTAACTCTCTCCATGCTCCAGTTGACCAAACTGGTAAGTGTGTCTCTACTCCCCATGGCCTGTGCTTTAGGTCTTCAGTTTAATTCCTTCCTCAAATGACAGATGTTTAGTATTAGACCCAATGTGTGAGGCTGGCTCTTCTCACTATGTTTTTGTCATGGTAGTACTATCCTTTTGCGGCTGAGTTTGGGTGAATGTCTTGTGGTTTATACACCTGTTTAAACATCTGTTTTTCAATCATCTGAATATCTTAACCAGATCTGTTTTTCAAATCTGTGAGGTCTCTTCAAATCCTGCTGGCAACACAGAGAGCTGGAATGATTGTTCAAAGACTGTTGTTATCACATTTTTTATTACTACCACACATGGGTTTTATGTTTTCATCTGTGATGTCTACATCAAAGACCTGTGTTTCGTTCATCTTTTTTTGCTTTATGGTCTCTCGAAACAATGTTCAGAATACTACAATGAAAGTATCCCAAAAATTTGTAAATGGTTGGTGAAATATTTTTAAACTTTTATGATTAGATATTGAGAAGCAAGGAAGGTAACATGCATTTTAAGCTATAAATCTTATTTAAATTCATACATAAAGAAATGTAAACCAATATGTATACCAGTGTGATATTGTATATAATATCAATTTTATTACCCTCAATTTGCTGACTGTGAACTATTGGTTTGGATTGGTAAGCATGATGGTGCAAAATGGTTTACTTGATTAAGTTTACTGGAGTAAACCCTAAATAAAGTTTGATGTAATTCTTTATTTAGGTGCGCGTATTGAAGAGTTTTTTTATGAGAAATTGGACAGAAAGATCCCATTCAGAACCACTAATGCAGAGCTGCTGGGGCAGTATATGCAGGATGCTGCAAAGGAATTTGGGCCAGGAACTCCGTATGGTTCGTATGTTTTTTTTTTGATTGTTTTTAATCAAAAAACACACAGAAAAGCCAAAAGTTATTTTGTTAAATGGTTAGTTCACCCAGCTGTTTCATGGCACTCAGCGGGTGTTGCATGCATCCGTCCAAAAGAAGTTAAATAAAAAGCGCCCATCCATAAAAAAAGTGTCTCACACTACTCCGGGGGGTGAACAAAGGCCTTTTGTATCGAATCGATGCGTTTTTGTAAGAAAAATATCCATATTCAAAACATAATAATCACTTTAATGTAGCTTGCACTCACTGTTGTAAACGGAAGCAGTTCCGGGCGGATGACGTATGAGGTCAGCTTTGCGCATGCGCCGCTCAGAAGTGACGAACAAGGAAGCACAGGGGAGAGATCAAAACAAAACGGTCACTAATTAGAAGAACAAAACGAGGATTTGTAAAGAAGAATGTCGGAGGATTTCAATATAAGCCAAGAGGAGACTGGTTTTCCTTTGCTAAAGTAAGGAAACTTTGCTTCCTTTGCTCCTGTTAACAAACGTTGGTTTTCACGAGACTCACTGGTGCATGCGCAACGCTGACCTCATACCTCATCAGCCCAGAGCTGCTTCCATGTAGGACTGTTGGTGTAAGCTACATTAAAGTGATTATTACGTTTTGAATATGGATACATTTTCTTACAAAAACGCATCAATTCGCTACAGGAGGCCTTTGTTCACCCCCCGGAGCCGTGTGAGACACTTTTATTATGGATGGGCGCTTTTTATTTCACTTCTTTTGGACGGATGCATGCAACACCCGCTGAGTGGCATTAAACAGCTTGAAAGATCAAAGACTATTTTTTATATAACTCCGACTGGATTCGTCTGAAAGAAGAAAGTTATATACACCTAGGATGACTTGAGGGTGAGTAATTTATGGACTAATTTTCATTTTTGGGTGAACTAACCCTTTAAGATAAAATGGCTACATATTTATTATAAGAAACAATAGAAAGCAGTTTGCACATAATCAAAGTCTAGAATAGAAGTCTGTACTAGAAGCCAGTGCATACCAGTTTATGTTCTTTTTTTTCTTTTTTATTTATGTGATGCACCATATGAGGCGGACTTGCCGCTGCACATGTTCACTTCTCCCTTTTTGCTGTGACAGTGTGCTATAGTAATACAGATCTCTAAATCAAGTTAATGTTTAGCCGCATGCCTTGTTTCACTAGATGGCGCACTTTCCCTTTGGCAAATAGGTGTTCTTGGATATTTTTAGGTTAGAATTTACTGAGGGAAATTGTATTAGATTCTGTGTTTTTTATTTGTTTCTTAACTATTATGAGGTTATGACATTTGCTTGTATTTATATTAGAACTTTATATATTATAATTATAGCAATGCTGCTTAAATATATTTATATAATTGCGCTCTTAGATGTCAACATAAAAAAAATAATAATTCATGACCACTGCCAAGGTAAATAAGACTTATGAAACAAATGAAAACATGTTTAATTTACAGAGAATCAAAGCAGCATCGGAGCATATGTCTAAAGATGCCTTATGTGAGGCAGAGTGTTTCATTTTGTGAGTTTAGGTCTCTGACGAAGATACCTTCATACCCCTTGATTAGTTAAACACATTTGGAAATGACTTGACAGGAAAAGATTGAAAATGTCAGTGCAATGCTAAGTTGCACATAATGCTTTGGGAATGTTTTGCCTGTTTTCAGGTAGTACTTTGATCACTGTTGGAGAGTTTCAGCGGAGGTTGGGTGGAGCAGAGCGGGAATTCCTACATATGTCAGCTATTAACTTCCTCACACCACTGAGGAACTTTCTAGAGGGTGACTGGAAAACCATTTCTGTAAGTGAAATTCATAATCTCGGTCTCAGATGGTTCACATCCTTCTGATATATAAGCCAACTTACAATGGCTGATAATGGCTAGTTACAAAATTATTGGCTGACAAGCTTTTATGGTATCTAAAATATACTTTAATGTATACTTTAATATATTTTTAATATAAATTTCTATTGAAACTTTTATGTCGTATTTAAATATATTTGTAATTAAATATTTGTATTGAAGTTACAATTTAGTACATTATTTATATATATATATATATATATATGTATATATTTATCTATATCTATCTATCTATATATATATATATATATATATATATATATACC